GACTAAGAACTGATATAATGTGCACTAAATTTTAAAATTGTGGAGTATAAACTCCTTATTTTATCTGAGTACTTTCAAAGAATTCATGGATACTGTTGCACAAGAGCTCTCTCATCTTGGGAAATCTTGTCAGGAGTTTATTCATAAGGAAGAAAGATTAATTACATGTTCAAGTAAACCAAGCTCCATGACAGAAGTGAATTCTCCTTCTCTGCCTTAAGAGAACCAGTTTTCTCCTGCAATTGGCTGGATTTACAATGAGGTTGTGCCACATGATTTTGTGCACTCCTCATTTTGTTCTGTTATCTGTAAACTAATTTTTTCTTTCATTCTCTGTCCTGAGAAGACTCAAGGAAGAACTTAACTGTGTACTGTGTTAAATGTAGTAAACTACACTAGTAAGGGATTAGAGTTTTACTCTGTTTGCTTTGAGATAGTAGAAAATAGTTGGTAATGAAGTGAAGACAGATTAAAATAAAACATCAATTGACTCAAGTAATCAGCCTCCCTAAAAAACTGGAAACAGATGACAGTAGAGAATTTTAAAAATACCAATAATTCTCTACATTAGTAATTTTACTGTAATTTCACCATTGTCTGGTGTTGAATATTATCTTCTTTATGAGAGTGTATTGAGAAAGAATACAGTCACAGATACTTCATACATTTTCAGTCAGTCTTTGAATTTGGTTTTGTTTCACATGCAGTGGGACTTGCTTGGATGAGTGATTAAGTTTTTCATATTTTATAGGTGTTACAAAACCCGGAAAAAAATCCATCAGGGTCATATAGGGGCTTTTGTGTTCTGGCAATTTGCATTTTTAATTTCTAACAGAAAAAAAAAAAAGTGGTTTTTTTAGGGGAATCCTAGTATCTAATAATGAACAAACAAAATAATTTCTATGCTTCTCTTTAGGGCTTAGCTTTGCCACCTGTTTTATTCACTTGTGCAAGAAAGTTAAGTGCCTCAGTATGTTGCCATACACCAGGCTATACTATTTCCTTGTTGATTGCATGTGATATCACTTCAGTGCATGATTTCCAACTTACATCAAGTGACAAGCATCAAGTGCAGTCATCTAAAGCACATTTTAGGCTAGATAAATATGTATAAATATATATTTATACATAAATATGGAGCTAGTTTGAAATTTAGCCAATAAAATGTTTTCATCCTCAGCTAAAACCATGGTCTTTTCATTCACAGGATGGCAAAAGATCTGCTTTGCTCCTTGGGCAAGAAGATTCAGGAGTACTTCAAATTCTTTTTTGAACCCAGGGTTTTTTTTCTGTTCTAGGTCTAGGTGTCAGTGCTAAATTTTCCTTCCATCACTAACAGATCCATTCCTATGTTTCCAAATCTTTGTAATATTTAAATCTATACACCTGACAAGAATCTTTTTTGGTGACAATATTTTGGTATAATAGGAGAAGCAATTTAGCAAATTATTTCAAATATTAGAGAACTAAAATGTTGTATCTCCCAGGATCATGGTCAAGATGTTAAATCTAACACAAATTCTGCCCATTGTGACTAAAAGCTAATACAGAATAAAAAAAGAATTGAATATTAAAACAGCAAAGTGAAAAATGAATGGATAAAAAATACAGAAAAAAAAACCCAGACAAAAACCCAAAAAATGTTGAAAATGCCTTTATAACTCTTGCTTTACACAATACCTATTTTTCACATATTCAACTGCTTTTAGCAGGTCTCAATTGAAGTCTTTTACTTCAGCCTTCTTTTTATGCTGTTAGGTTTCAAAATACATTTACAATAATTACCCACAAACCCAGATTTACAAGGGTGTACCTTAATACTTATCAAAAAAAAGGTAGTGAATAAGGAGATTAACAGCATAACACTCTATAGACATACACCTCTGTAGAAGGCCAAGGCTGCTTTCAAGCACATAGTTGTGAAGTTGAATGATCAAAGTCAATCTACGTGTCTTTACAGATCACTAAGCTTGTTGAAGTGACTGACTGGAGAGTCAATAGTCATGAGTGCTTCTTTGCTTTTAGAAAAGTTCCATTCTACCAAATGCAGTTCCTCATCTGACCTCTTGGCCAAAAACTGAAATTAAAGATGAAGCTTCTGTGCAGAATAGATGAGAACAGTGGGATTTAAAACTAGAACAATATATATTAATGATCCGCCTTTAAAAACTTGCTTGCTTTTTGTCAGTACTGGTACTAAAAGGTGAACAAATTCAACAATATGAGGGATGATGCGTGTTGCTTCTGTTTTTCAGAGGTAGAATCTCTCTTCTAAATGCATCTCCTAAATTTATCTGACTTCATCTGTAGCCAGTAAATTAACCTTTCCAACTTTTTTTCTTAAGATTGAGAGCTCTGAAATAAGCATTTACCTTTTATATGTTCAAACTCAAGAACATTCTTAGATTCACAGGTCCACAGGCATCAGGAAACTTCTTGTGCTTTCCATTTTACAAATTTAGCCATTTCTACTCAATGGCTGTCCAAATAGATAGTGGCCTGAATTGAGTTTCGCTATGTAACTGTTGAAAAAAATCCTCCTAATAGAATCAGGGCATAATCTACAAGAAACCTGAAAATATTACTGGCATTGTTCAGAAACTTTTTCTTCATTTCCTGTCACAACACCACTGAATTGTTTTGGGTTGCTGAAGGCAAATATGGTTCTGCATTTGCTGATTGCTTTAACTGTTCTAACTCTGCTAGATTGTTGATAAAGCATTTTCTTGGAGTTATTTAAAGTGTGAATGGACATTTAAGTTATCAATTGAAGAAAGAGAAGTTACATACCAGTAAAGGATAGCCTTTGAGATTTTGAGTCCAAAAATACAAGTTTTGGAGTTACTTTTCTCTTTCAAAACTCTGTTGTTTCTAAATGTAGATTCCATTGGATGAACAGGAATAGGAATTCTGTTACCTTATCTGGATGCTGGGCATGAACAATTGAAGGGTCTTATGTGAGAAAGAAAAAGAAAAGAAGGATGTATACAAGTAGCAAAATGGCAGCACTAGCCTCATGTTAATGTATATGTGGTCATTTCAAAACCAGTTATTTATTTAAATACTGCTCTTATTGCTGATATTTTATTGCTGATAAAAGACTCAATATTTTTTGTCTTTTATCTTCAGGAATAATATGTGCCTTTGCATTTTGAGAATTATGTTATCAGAAAGGGTTGTGTGTGCTGAGTTATGAAGATGCAATTGTTGCACCTGAACAGTCAGCACAAGCATTACAATTGACTAATCTGATTGCCTTCTACATTGGAAGGATTGGTTACATGGGCCCATGTAACATAACTCAACTTAAACACAACTTTTAACATACTTTTCAATTGTATTTTTTATTTATAAGCTGAGATGAATGTGTTGGATGAATGAGTTGGTAGATGGATTGAAAAAAGAGCAGGCATTTGGACTCTGAAGATAGTAATTAATGGCTCAGCTTCCAGATGACATCCAGTCAATACTGCTGCCTTTTTTATTCAGTTATTTTCATCGATGGTGAAAATATTTCTAGATGATGAGCTAGTATGGACCCTCAGCAAATTTTCACATGAGGCAAAATTGGGAAGTTAAATTTATATGACACTAGATGGAAAAACATTGAGAAACAGAGGGGCTGGACTAACAGAAACCTAACAAATTTAGAAGGAGAAGTGCAAAAGCCCTGCACTTCAGAAAAAAATAGCTAAGTGCCTGAGTAGAGTCTGGTAACTAACTGACTGGGTAGCAGCTCTGCTGAAAGGACAGGTTATAGTGGCTTGTGAGTTGTGTATGAATGGAATGCCCTCACCATGAATAAGTCAAACTGAGCTACATTGGAAGGAATGTGGATAATATTGTCCCTTCATACTTCACATAAACTTTGTTTACATCCATCTTGCAGTTCAAGAAAGATTTTGGAAAACTGGAAAGAATCCAAAAGAGGGCTAACAAGAGTAGAGTCTTGATTAACCATCTTCACGGTTAGAGACCTGAAGAACAGGTTAAATTGAGTTAAATTGCTTAACCCAGTGAAAGAAAGGCTAAAGAGACCCATAATAGCAGTCAGTGCACTTTGAAGGTACACTGTGAGGATGATCTACTACAAGGTACGCTAACTCTCTTTACTACCAGCCCCTGGTATATCAAAAGGCAAAAGTCACAAGTTTCAGCTTTGGCATCAGCATTAGAAGATGTTACTTCACCAGGAGGGTCATACAGCCCTGGAACACTTTATGAAATTGAGTGATGAAATCTCCATCCTTAGGGTTTATTCAGACTCATCTAGAAAAAGCCACAGTTGACTCAATATAGTACTGGCTGAGGTCCTACTCTGAGTGAGTCCAATTAGGTGACTTATAGACATTCCTAGGATTCTATTCTTTGTTATACTGAATAATGACATATTTCAGTGGTCCTTGTACTCTGTATTGGGTGAAAAAGCACCCAAGTCAAGGCCTGTATCCAATATGTTTATTACATATGTTGACATAATAGTATAGAGATACAATGATTAATTAAATGTTTCCTTTTATTCCCTTGACCACTGGAAGATTTACGTACTGGAATATTTTTGAGAGAACAAAAGCTTTAATGTCATAATCCCTAAACAGTAGCAAGAAACATGTATTGTTATCTTCATTCCCCAGGACTCCTAACTATGTTTGTATAAATTAAAAACTGTTAATAGCAGAACACTGTAATTGATTAGCTTCTGTATGTTTACAGCTCTCTTTAATTGCTTAAAAATGCCATTTGTCAGCCTCATGTTCTATTGACAATGTTATTGATTTATCCGATTTGGGCTTTGTCTTGTCTCTCGTACATAAAACTCACATATGCAGTTCAAATGGGAAATGACTCTATTGATTTCCTTAACTTGAGCCCAAATGCTAAAGATTTTTGGATAAGCTTTCTCATTATTTAAGCCAAAATCAATAAAAGAGAGCATCTTTTAATGAAAGAGCAGTTTGAGCAACGTACTTCAGAAATGGGGTCCTGTTCATCCTTTGCTTTACAAATCGATCTCTTTGGTTCCCTAAGTGAGGTCCAATTGGTTGACATTGTGGTTTGTCTTTGTGTGTAAACTTGCAGCTTCAGAGAGGCGAAGATGAGCTGCAGAGACAGCAGAAGAAAACACTTTCTCTGCAACAGGAAAAGGATGATCATCTTTTTGAGGTACCACACTGTATGTTGTGCTTTCCATAAAATTCTTCCTTCTTATGGCTGTTTTAAAACTATATAATTTATGGTGAAAATAAGATGTTTTTCAACTCCATCTCTTTATTTTTTATTATTCATTGGTGTATTATTATTATACTATTTAAAAATATTACATACTTAAATGATGCAAGTAGTTAATTTGGAACTGTCTCCTTTTATGATTTTTCTGAGTAAAAGACTATCATAGACTATAATCCAGTCACATTGTTTTGTTAACCTGTTAATTTGTTCTGGTTTTATTTCAGCTCTAGCCTCGAGAAATTAGACTCAGCAGCTCCAGTCTAAGCTGTGTAAAGTGAAATCTGAGATAAAAAATGAAGAGCAGAAGTTGAAGAGCTACACAATGAACTGGGTATATCCAGCTAGTTATATGGGCAGGCCAAATGTTCAGGTACTGTACTAAGATATCATTAACTGACCTGAACTACATAAATTAAGCTGATTATTCCTTCACTTAATTAACTGAGAATGACCTATTGATGTATAGGCAGAGCAAGATAGAGACTACATTCTGCACTGTGCTAAATTTATAGGTTTTCAATTAGTTCTATTATTGACTAAGACTATTTAGAAAAGGACTTTACTTTTATGTTTTGTCGCAGGTTTATAATTTAGGAAGTTATATTGAAAATGATCTGTTTGTATTACTTGAATGATTAAAAAAAATGATCCAGTTAAAATTATTTATTCAACTATACTCCTGGCTGGCTAACACTTATATGTTTGTCTTTCAACTGGCTGTTATGCCTTATTACAAGTATTGATTAATAATGTCCAAAATATTAATACTCTCCAAATTTAAGTCATAATAGTTTTAGAAATAATATGCAACCAGATTATTTGTTTAAAAGAATATTTTAAAGGAATGCAAGGAAAATATCGACATCATCTCTGATCATTTTATTATAAATGGAAACAGAGATTTTCTTTCAAAAATTGTACATTTACTGTGATTTTTAGTTAAGCTCCATACAATATCTGATAGCAATTTACCTAACGTATTAAATAATCTCAGTAGTATATTTACAGATTTTGTTCAGAGGAAAATATGAATTTGTCTAATGCAGGGGTTTTTATTATGCAGAATGATGGAGTAAATTAGAATTTAGTTACAAATCAATTTCCACTGTAGGTATTATTTCAAAAAAACACATAATTAGAAACCAAACAGAAAAAAATATAGCTGCTAAAAAGTAATACTGCTACAAATGTTGGAGAAAGTAATAGGTTTAAAAATATTAGCATGTAATAGTAGTAGGACTGTTACATCAGACTGATGATTCTTCTGTAATATTTCTATTTTAAAAGATATATTTTGGCCAATAAGAAAATAATAAAACAACTTGCAGATAAGCTTGTATAAAAAAGTAACTTTCTAGTTATAGTTATACTACCAAGTTAGTATACTTGGTAGTATAAAAAAAGTATACCATTGTGTATATTTAGCTAAAAAGACCATGACTACTCATGTTTGGACCCTGACCACCGTTTTCTTTGGCTCATTCCTTAGTATAATTTTTTGTGGAAATGTACTTTCTCTAATGATATGGATTGTTTCAGGTACATCTCTATGACCAAAGTTAATATAAATTCTGCATTTTTTTCCAAGTCATTGTACACTAAAAGGCTGATGTCTTTATTGATGCAGTTCTCCTCAAGCTTAAAAAAATTAAACATTGTATGTATAGATATTGTATAGTATGTCATTGTGTATTTTTGAGACTTGTGGTTGAACCTGCCCTTTGTAATTCAGCCATCACTTTACTGACAAATCTCTCCATGTTTTCCTAGTCTATACTGAAAATCTGTGTATGTATGCAGCTCTTTGCTCTTCCTTCAAATGTTGTCCATAAGCCTTTGGTATGTACTGGTCATATATTGAACACAAAATACATCGTGGAAACTTGATCTAGGTCCTTAACTTCACTACAGTTAGACTATAGCAGCAGCCCCAACATCTGGTGTTCAGCTGCTGTTCAGCTTCTTTGACTGTTGGCTCGTTGGTTGGACCAACCAAACAACCAACAGACAAGTATGTGTTTTGTTCTCCTTATTGAACATGTGTATTAGCACATGAAACTTGTTACTCTGCTATATGACAATTTTCTTAATTGCTATATTGCCTTGTTTACTAGTACATTTATTGTTTTTGGTAGATGGCTTATGAGTTCCACCTAACACCTCTCTGTCTCTCGGTGTTTTATCTGTATTTCCTACCAGTTAATTTTTATTAGCTTCTTGTACTTCAGGTCTTCTCCTCTTAGCCCATCCCTCTTATTTATCCTCTCCTGGTTAATATTTGCCCAGGCCTTTACCTTTTTTTTTCTCTATCCTAGCTGTCATTGCCATTTCTAATTATCTGATTTACTTTTTAAGCCTCATATCTGCCATTTAGATCTCTTTCATTAGGAGGTCTTATTCTGTGTTTTCTTCATACACAGGATGGTCATTTATCTGCTATGTGATTTTTCTGTCCCTTTTATCTTTTCACTGATTTGAAGCAGTTCATTCCTCAGCATGACCCGGGGTGCATCAGACACAGCATCACCAGCCAGGCAAGGAAGGAAGAGGATTTTCCTATTTTTCTCTGCACTGGTTCAATCTCACTTTCAGTCTTGTGTGCAGTTTTGGTCATCACAATATAAAGAAGATATTAGACTGTCCCAACCAAAGAAGGGACATGAGCATGGTGAATGGCCTTGTGGAGAAGCCATATGAGGAGAAGCTGAGTTCGCTTGGTCTGCTCAGCCTGGAGGAGATTGAGGGGAGACCGCAATTCAGGCTGCAATTTCCTCATGAAGGGAAGAGGAGGGACAGAAACTGCACTCTTCTCTGTGGTGACCAGTGACAGGACCCAAGGAAGTGGCCTGAAGCTGTGCCAGCGTATATTTAGGTTGGATATTAAGAAAAGGTTTTTGATGCAGGGGGTAGTTAGACCCTGGAACAGGCTCCCAAGGAACTTAAACTTGTTCCTCTTAGTCCACCTTATGGTGTTCTTTAAATAAATCGACCAGCCAGTGATTGCTAAATTTTCCATCAGTAGAACAAAGCTGATGAATGATGCTTTCCTCTTCTTGTCTCCCTGAAAAGAATCCAGACCTTTGCACAGGGTGTAACAATCAAATTTTACAGCTTGCATATTCATGTTGTCATATTTTAATTACAGTGTTCAGTTCTCTCTTCTGATTTATCACATTCACTTACAATTAACTTCAAATGGTGTTACAGATTAATTAGGTCAGGAATAATGCCTTCTTTTGTATGTTTTTTTTACTGGTCCAGCATAAAAGGCTGCACTTTTATTTATAAATGTAAAGATAATAGGGTCTGCTACTTTTAGAAATATTTGTGCTTCCCCAACTTATTCTCAGGAATTTTTCAGGAATTTGTATGGGTTTAGGCTCTTTTCCAACAGGAAGTACACGTTTCAGATCATGGATGCTGACTGATCCATGACCACTGGCCTCAGTGATAAAGAGTAGTTCTTGGCACATTTAATTTACTGGCATGAATGAAGTCTCTCTTCATCCTGACTGACTTTTAATTGCTACCTTTGCACAAAAATAGTAATTCCTCTAATAATTGCAATAATTTAAGCTGAGAGAAGATGAAATGGAATTTGTAGTATTATTTTCATAAACTGAGAATTAGTCTGACCATAAGTCATCTTAAATGACAAAGAAGTTTTGATCTGTGTAGCACATGTAGAATGTGTTTTTCAGAGAATGTTGCATTATTATTTCTGCCTATGTATTTGCATGCCTGTCATAAATGGAGGACTGCTGCTAAAATGCCTTTTCTAGCACAGTTTTGACATGTAAGCAAAAGTAATCAGAATTCTGTAGCTGTCCTTGGAGGATATTTAAGCATCACAGGCAGTTGTGAATATAGGTATTCATACTGAATGACAAAGTTATTATTATTCATTCAACAAAGCTCTCAGACCTGTATCACCCTGCTGCCTGGGTTGTAGTTCTTGGACTGTAGCTTTCTCAAAGAGGCACACGAAAGAAACTTGACTATGTGGGTTACAGCTTGTTATGTCTGTTGTCTGCTCTGGAATGTTTCTCTCAGTTTGGTAAAAGATAAGGAAATATCAGAAAGAAAAGATGTGTCAAAATAAATTATTTGTGTCTTTTACTTTAATACTCTTTTCTTCAGTTCCTTGCCCTAATGTCTTACTTTTTCTCCATAGACAGATGCATTGCCATGTCCATTGCCCTTTTGACACCTCATTTCTCTGTTTATGAAAACCTTTCTCTGTAACTTAGGGTAGGTACTCTTCAGCCTAGTGTTTGATTCTGCAGTGAAGTTATTGGCAATACATCCAGGGCTTTATCATCTTCTTCCTAGCCTTCCTTTGAAAAAGTTGTGTCATCTCTGAGATGCCTAAGGTGCCAGTCTATGCACTTCTACACATCAAGCTCTTTATTTCTCTATTCCTGGTTTTTTTTTTACAGTGTTCTTTTTTATTTAATGTATTTTTCAAGCACTTAAATGCAGTAAAGCAGGTGTAGTTGGACCTTAGCCCTAATGAATCTGCATGATTTTTGCTTTCATAAGTGAACAGTTTGCCTCAAAGGTTTGCCTTCAAATATGCTACAGATATTCTCCTAAAATTCTCCAAAAAACCCAGATCAGATAAACTGAAATGCCTCTACTTCCTGAATAGTTAGGAAAATTTCACACCGTAATTCGAACTCTCAATTTGCATTTCACTGATGGGGTTTTTCTACTGACTAACTGCTGAATGTTATCTTATATCATGGTTTTACATGAGTAGCATTCTTTGAATGCTTGTCCATCTATATATTCACACTCTGTGAGTTTGCGCTGCAAGAATGTTAAAACAACCCAGTGATTCTGTTTAAACTTTTAAACTATATGAAATACTAAAAAATAATGACTAGCACACAGCTTTTGTCCTTACCAATCCAGAAATGTTTAAAACATAAGTTTCGAAAAGGGGAGGGAGAGAAATGTGGGTAGTGAATTTATAAATAAGCGACAAGTGAAAATCTCTAACAAGTAGACTCTCTCAAGTGCAACATCTTCACGGGTGTGTTCTCGTGGTGCATTTTTCTTAACCTTTGTGGTGAAAATTACTTGGAAGTGAATCTTGAAATATTCTTAAAAGAGCAGAACCAGAGAACGATTCCAAGAAATGCATCCTCCAAATGTCCTATTCTGGAGAAGTAATTGATGGAGCTGAATATCCAGTCCCAAGTTCCCACTCTGCCAATCTCAATAATACTGGCAGCCTGAAATTAGCATTATATTAGCTACAGTTAGCATTCTGACAGATTTTTCTTGCTGAAAATCATCACGTATTCTCTTTAACTGGACAATATGTTCCTAGACATGTTTGTGTCATTTGATTTTCATAATCTTAACTGAAATAATTATTATTTTGTGCTATCTTACTCATAATTTCATCATCATACATGTTTCTTTCCCATAACTCTTCCATAATAGTGAAAAGTTATGGGAGAGAAGAATCGTTATTTTAATTTTAGTAATACAAACTTTCTATAATGTATGTGCTTTTCAACGTAATGATATCTTTCTGCACAAATCAGGGTATTTTATTTGCTCTTACTAAAAGATGTATAAACTTTTAAAGTGAGTATTATTATTTTGTATATTGCTATATAAAAGTTGTACACACAGATACAAAGCTCTGATAAAATACTGATAAAATACCATCTTATAAAAAATGCCATGTGGTATAATTATAAGAAAAGTAAACTACAAAAAGGCCCGCCTCTGTGTATGAAGTTATAAGAATCTTGAGTTTCCAAGCCAAAGCTATTTCCACCGTTTTCACTAGTATTCTTCATCAGTTTAATTGGGTTACCCCAAACTTATACATTAACTGATAAAATGACATCAGATGGATGGAAGGTAAGATGGGCATCTTAACCAATGCTTGAATAAAAATATTAAGAAAATGTTTTGAGTTGTCTTGCAAAATTATGAGAAAACTGCTGGTATGTGATGGGTTTGGATAGGCTGAAGATAATTGTCTTTACAGCAGTCTGTATATGATGCTGTGTTTTATGTTGGTGACCAAATTAGAGTTAACAACACGGTGAGATTTTAGCTGTTGCTGAACAGTGCTTCCACAACGTGTTCTCACTCTGGTTTCTCACTCTGGCTCTTCAGGGAGCAGTCTGTGGGTGTGGGCAAGAAGCTAGAAGGGGAGACAGCCAGGACATTCATTTTTTAAGACAGCTCTAGGTAGCCACAAGCCATGATGTGTTTTCACTAGCGCAAAGTGGAAGAAGAAAAACAGAGCCTGCTTCCTAGCTCTGCAGGAACAGCAAAAAATTAGGAATGATGGAATGAAGTACTTATAAAGGCAAGTAGACACTGACTAGTTTCAATGTATTTTCAAGTTTTAATTTTGACAAAAATCTCAGGTGGAAATGAATGGAAGAATTCAGGTATAAATTCTAGATTTTTGTTCAGTGAGATTAAGGGTGAGTCCAGCTTGAACTGAATACTTCTGAGGTTGAGAGAAGACAGGGAAAATGCAAAAAGCAGGACAAAGGCTGATGATAATAATTGTAAGTAATATGGGGTTGAAAGGAATTTCTTGCCTAGATAAAAAATAAGTATCCTTAGATTTTATAGCAATGGGAGAAATTAATTACTTAATGAGAGATTAAGAAAGTGAAGAAGAAA